GGGCGGGTGGGGAGCGTCGGCTGGGCCCGGGGGGGGGAGGGCCGCCGCCGGCTGAGTTCGAAAAGGGCTGGGCAGCCAGAGGGGGCGGCAGGGGGCTGCTTGGGGGTCTGCGCGTCGCCGTCGGAGGCCAGCAGCGTCTCCCTTGCCTGGCCCTGGCTGCTGCCGGGGAGGGGGACGCAGAACCGCGGCAGCCTCCCCTGGGTGCCGCTTGAGCGGCGGTGCTCCGGCCCCAGAGGGAGAGACCCAGGGCTCTCCGCTCCCCTGGCCCCGATGATCCCCAGCAGCCTGGCTGCCCTCTCCCATGCCAGGACACTGGAAGGGCTTCCTCTGGAGGTCAGGGGGCAGGCTTCTCTTCCGCCCAGTCCAGTCGGCTGCCACTGGTCAGAGCCCGTCAAGCAGCCCGCGGGAGGGGAGGGGAGGGGAGGGGAGGCCGGGCAGGGCAGGGCGACAGCCGCCACTCCCGTCCTTGAGCCTGCCATTCTGGTTTTTTTTTTTAAAAAAAGAACCAGAATACGAGCACGTGACCCCCCCCCCCCCCCGAGGATCCCCCCCCTTCCCCCCCCCCCCCACGTCTTCTCCATCCTCCTGAACAGCAGTTGGGAGCTGAGAAGCTGTTGGCCCCCTGCACCCCAGCAGGAGTCAGGGAGCGATCCCTGCCTCGGACTTTCGCACTCAGACCCTGCCAGAATCCTGTCTGGGAAGTTCTCACCACTGACTCGCGGTCCTTTCATTTCCTCAGCAACTCTGCAGCTGTGGAACATGAGCCTGTCTCTCTCTGGCAACACCCTGCGGGTGACTCTGGAACTTCCCGTCCACAGAGGGAAGGATTCCACCCTGGCCTACGAAGACCTGCACCCCGGCGGCTGGAGCAAGTACCGCGTCTATGTCCGGAGGGTGTCCGATAACACTGAGGTGAGGCCACGGCAGGGCTCTGCCAAGGCACGGGGCACGTGACCCCAGGGCCCACTTCTCCTCCGCCACTCCCTGCCGACATCCACGGAGGGTGTCCGCCCGCCGACGTGGTCTTTGGAGGCTGGCTGTGTTCTTGGCCGAGGCGTCATCCAGGACCCTGGCCGAGGCTGCCGAGGCTTCTGTCTCGGGGGGCAACGCCCAGCAGTTCTCCTTTGCCCAGAGGAGCCTTGCCCTGCAGGGGGATGCCGCCAGGGCGGGTCTCCATGGAGGAAAGAGACAGCTGCCTGGGAGCTCAGGTCCTGGCATACGGGTGGCCTGCGGGGGGAGAGCCGCTAGTAGTGCCACAGCCGGCCTCGCCAGAGGCCTGTGGGGCCTGGACACCTTTGGTCTGATGCCCCCCCTCCTCTCCCCCCCCGCTTCTGCCCCCTGCAGCAGGTGCTTGTGGAAAGCAACCGGACTTTTGAGCTCCCTCTGCTGTCCTGGGGTGAGCGGTATTGTCTCAGCGTGGAGCCCCACCTGCCCTCCCGGCCCAATCCTGCCAAGCGGACAGAAGAGCAGTGCATCTCGACCCCTCCCCCGGAAGGTGAGGCTGGAGCCCCTCCCCCCCCCGAGAGTGGTGCTTCCCTGGCTGCTCCAGAGGTGCTCGGAGTCCAGGGTCAAGCCCCCAGGCCCTGGCAGCCAGCCAGAGCCCAGGCCAGAGGTGTCCCGCCTCCACTGCCACCCGCCTCGCCACGCAGGAAAGCCCTCTGGGGAAAGAGGCAGCCTCCCGCAGAAACGCCGGGTGGAGAGTCAGCAGTCAGTGGGAGACCGGTGGCACTTCTTGTGGTCCCTCTCTGGGTCATCCACTGTGGGGTGGGAGGGAGTTTTTCGCATGCTGCAAGTATCTGCAGGCGACTGGGGAGTTGGTGCTGCTCAGAGGCGGGGGGGAGAGAGGGGACGACCAAGGAGTTGACTGGCCATCCCAGACGCTGCGACGCGATCTCTGGGCCTGCCCGTCTGTCCTCCTTGTGCCCCTGAATGCCCCACCCCCTCAGGTGGCTCCCTTGGGCCACTGACCACTCCTGGCCTGGAGCAGGGGGTGCGTCTCGGCCTCCACCCCCCGCGCGGTTGCACCTGGCTGGGGCCCTCTTCTCCAGGCAAGGGGCAGGGGACCTTCCCGGCCCCCTGATGTGGTGTGTGACGGGCCTGGGGACACTCTGCTTGCAGGTGGCGCCTGGGCCACGGCGATCCTCAGCTCGGCCCTCCTCAGCCTGGTGGCTCTTGGCACTCTAGCAGCGGCCTGGGTCCGTGCCCGTGTGAAGAAGCCCATGGAGACCCCGTCGGTGCTGGTAAGGGCTTCCCTCCCCCCCCCTCCAGCTTCTGAGGCAAAGCAGCCAACCCACTCAGGGCACCGGAAGGCCAGGCAGGCCAAGGCCAGAGAGGCTGCTGAGCAGCTCCCCGGATGGGAATCAAGAGAGCAGGACTCCCGCCCCCACCCAGCTCAGTAGGGAAGGTGGAGGGAAACTGGCAGAGACCCTGAAGGTTGAGAGAGAGAGAGAGAGCTGTTCAAAAGTCCCTATTATTTAAATTTTACTGAAAGATAAAACCAGAATGCAAAAGTAGCAATTTCAGTATTCATCAAACAGAAGAAAAGGAATCCTCTCTCTCTCTCTCTCCCTCTCTCTCCCTCCCTCCCTCCCTCCCTCCCTCCCTCCCTCTGTCTCTCTAAAGAGTGCACATGTGTTAGACAAATTGCTCTATTATTTAATAAAGATGGGGAATTATAAGTATTAATATGCAATTGGCTTATCTATAGGATCTGACCTGTGTATACCAGAGTTAGAATTCCCAGGAACCCAGGAACAGACACAGAAACTGGGTGGCTAAAATAATGATTTCTTTACTAAACATTCTCAAGCATACAAACAATATTCAAACACTCACACACACAATATAGAACAATAAGGAAGCAGAGGTGATTGATAGCTTATAGAGGGGTGATACAACCTGTCCAGATGTGCAGAGGTCCATGAAGAAAGGATTGTGGCCAGAGAGTTCAGGGGTGGACTGCCATTTTGGATTATGGCAGAAAACACACACAGTCTGAGGCCATGTTTACGCTGGGATATACCCTATGGAAGACATTGCAGACCAATGGGCGGTCCTGGGGGCTGGTCTCAGGTGAGAACAGTAGATTTCCTGGACCAATGATGAGTCCCAGGGGTGTGTGGCCTCAGGATGGGCAAGCCCTAGATGTGACCAGTGAGCTTCCAGAGAGGCAGGGTCTGGATTTAACAATAGAAGCCAGGTGCTGGGTGGCTAGTTGAATGGATTATCTGAGCACTAATGGTCCTGGCCAGGGTAAACAAAAGGTGGGAGATGTCCCTGATTAGCATCAGGAAGGATCGCTAATAATTTGAATGCTTGATTGGTTTATCCCTTTTTCAGAGCTGTGGCTAGCTCTGTGTTTCAGAACCAAGAGTGCCTTCCTTGGCCTGAGTTTTGTGGGTCTCTGGGTCAGGTTAGAAGTGGGGTGCCCTTGCTATTGGGGCTACCCAAGAGTAAAAGGCAGTGCCTCTGGCAACACATGTCTATTTAGGAATATGCATTCTGTCCTCTTGTGAAGACCCTCAAGGGAGGTGTTGGCAAAAAGCCCCAAACAATGGCAGACATGGACATTGTATAGTAGAAACATCCAGAGTAGCTGTCAATTAAGAAATGGGATGGGCCTGACAAAACCCGAATCCTTCCCCTCGCTGACCAGATGAACTCTGATCAGAGTCAACTCATCACCTCCTAGGTTAGAAAGACCCAGCGGCACGCACACACACACACCCCGTGTCAAGGCAGGATTCTGGCGCTAGGTGCCCCGATGTCTGGTTTCCAGGCTGGCACCAAGTCTCACAGAACGCCAGCCCTGCTTGCCAGCGGAAGGGCACAGGCTAAGCAGCACTGCTGCCTGGGAGAAACGTTTGCTTAGTGAGAGAGGCATCTGGCAGTAGCTAATCATGCAAAGCCTTAGGGGGAAGGGAGAACCAAAAAGAGAGGCATAAGAAGAGATTGGACATATACCCCACCCTCCCGCTCCCCACAACAGGTATTCTGTGAGGTAGGTGGGGGCCAAGAGAGCTCTTTCAAGGACTGCTCCTGAGAGAACTTGTAACTGAACCAAGGTCACCCAGCTGGCTGCATGTGGAGGAGGAGTGGGGAATCAAACCTGGTCTGTGCTCCTAACCACTACACCAAGCTAATACAGAAATAGCCCAGTCTGGCTTATAATTCTGCCACCACAGCCTCCCAGGCAGGCAAGGAGGCCATATGCCTCCCCATCCCTGGCTGCATAACCAAAGGATCGTTTTCATTTTGCTGTTCAACAGATCATTGCATTTGTTATTTAGAAAACACAGACACTCCCCATGCAGGAACCAGCTTGTAAAGATAATAGATACAATCATTCGAATAATAGTAATTAAGTTCGCAGTATGAAAACAAGCCAGGAGCATGAAATAAGGTTCCCGTTCCTTAACATAGGTAACACAGAGAGAATCTGGCAGCAATAATTTCAAACATTTGGTAACGGTTGGAAATGTCCATCTCTGACCACTGTTGGGGCACCTCCCTGTCTGGCGTGCCGGTTCCTGGGCCAGGAGGAGGGGCAGAGAGAGGAAACAGCGGCTGCATGTTTGATCATCGTTTTACTTGCATCGTAAGCCACCTTGATTTCCACAAGGGAGAAAGGTGACTAATAGGTATTTTAAATCAATCAATCAATCTTGATGAACGCCTGACAGGGCTGTTATCCAACCTAAGCGGCAGAACAGGATTGCCTCACTTCACATTTCTCTGCACAATGTTCCCCCTGAGCATCGTACCATCCCAGTAGCTTGGAGAGGGCTTTCGACATTTATGTAAGCACCGATCCTGTGTTTGCGGGAGCTATTCCATTCAGTAGGACTGAGCCTGATAAAAGGGGGCAAAGCTTGGCTTGTACTCGTTGCCAGGTTCAGACTGACGGTGGACAGACAGACAGACTCTGTGGTAGGCAGCTTGCCTCTTCTGCGCGCGGACTGTGCCCCACCCACAAGCTCTGTGTTCTGAAGGAACTGGTCCCTCTCTCCTAGTGCAGCCCACCTCGCAGGGGTGTTACGAGGACAGCACTTGGGCAGGGGCCACATGTGCCGCTCACAGCTCCTCAGAGGATGGGGATGGATAGGAAACATGCAGATCAAAGGGCCAGCAAGACTAACGTTTTCCTCTTGTTGCCGCCAGAAATCTTTCCGGAAGCAGACCTCCCCCTGGCTGCGGAGTGAGCCCTGGACTCTCGGGATGAGCGGCGGGGACCCATGCTCAGACGTGGAGTCCATCCACCCGATTCCCCTGGGGCTGAAGGCCCACCCCCACCCCTACCCGGCCCGTGCGAGCCACTCCGGGAGGGCAGCCTGTCGAGTCCCAGAGCAGGTGATGTGCTGGACGCCAGAAGCCGTCCCCAGCAGCAAGGCAGGAGGCCCACGGCTCAGAGACCGGACAGACGGCAGCGGCTGCAGCACGGACAGCGGCATCTGCCTGCAGGACCCCCCGGGCAGCCACAGCCTCCTCCCACCCACAGGACCACAGGGGGGGCGTGGGGGGCAATCACCAGGAAGCAGCAAAGAGGGCTGTGGCCTGGAGCCGGAGGAAGAGGGGCTCCCGCTAGGGCCCCCCGCCCCTGAGGCACCGCCGGTGGGCCTGGACACCGGAGAGGCACTGGCGCAAGCGGTCCCGCCCCACGCTCGGGTCTCCAGGGGCCAGAGGCAGGCAGGGGGCCCAGGGGAGGCTCTGGGCTCTTCCGGCTGCCCCCCCGGCCCCGAGGGCGTGGCCAAGCCCGTTCTGGCCTCTGGCTACTTGAAGCAGGCCTCCGTCGCCGTCCTCCCTTCCCCGGGGGCCCAGGGGGCTGATGCTCCGGAGGCCAGCTGGGGGCCCCCCATGGGCAGTGCGCGCCTGGGGCGGCGGCTCTCGCTGTCCAGCTTGGCCCCGGGTGGGTTGGAACCCCTGCCGTGCCTGCCACCGGAGTCCCCCAAGGCCCTCCTGGCTTCCGGCTTCCTGGGGCAGGAGCCTGCCTGGCCTTCCGCCCACCTCTCCCTCTTGTGCGCCAGCGCACACCTCAGCCTGAGCTTCCCCAGGTGCCGCGTCTGAGGACCACCCTCTCCGGGGACCTGCCTGGAGGAGGCGAGGAGTGGGCGGGCCCTCTGAGTTGCCCTGGCGCCGTTCCTCTTCCCAGGGGTGGCACGGCAGTCCAAAGAGACCCCGCGCTTGTGCCGCTCGGGAAGCTGGGCGGCAGGCAACCAAGGTGGCATCTGCCCCTGGGGAGCTCACTTCTCAGGCACGTGGGGGCCCAGCGCCTTTCATGGGCCGGGCCGGATTTCCCTGCAGTTACACCGCGGCTCTGGGGAACACGTCACAGGGGAGGGGCCGTGGGTCAGCGGCAGAGCATCTGCTTTGGGCAGGCGGAGGGTCCCGGGTTCAGTCCCTGCCCGTCTCCAGTTCAAAGGGCCAGGCAGGAAGTGATCTGGGCTTGCTTCTCCTGGCCTCAGGCCCCGCCTGCGTGTCCCTTTTCTGGAACAGAGGAAGAGCCCTGGTGGCTCTGAGACCGCTCCAGCCTGGCTCTGTGACCTTTTCAACACACACCCCGTTCCCAAGGGTCTCCCTGGGCAAGGAGGAGCTGGGAGCTGCTGAGACTCCAGAACCAGCCTGGGGCAGCCCCCGGAAGAAGTCCTGTGCGACACAGCAGGAGCTGCCCCCACCGAGAAAATCCGTGGCTCCCCTGTGGCCAGGGGGGGCGGGCGGCGAGAGGCCGTCCTCGGTGCCACGCTTACTCTGGCCCGGCATGGAGGGGCCTGGGTCAGGGGCTCAGCGGCTCTTTTGGACACACAGACTGTTCCAGATGGTGGTTACGGGGTAGCTCCACTGGGACTGGGAGCGCCGCACGTTTCTCTTTTGTGTGCTGAATCAAAGTCGTGTTCTGCGCCACCTCCAGCCCTAGGGACGTCCGACTTGCCTCAACTAGGGCCAGGGCTTTTTCGGCCATGGCCCCCGCCTGGTGGAATGAGCTACTGTCAGAAATTAGGACCCTGCGGGAGCATTTTCACAGGGCCTGCAAGACGGAGCTCTTCCGCCAGGCCTTCAGCCGAGGCAGCCGGTTCAATCTGGCCTCCCCCCCCCCAATGAGTCGCTCTTGTGTGTCTGTTGAGGTATAATTTATTTTAAAGTATTTAGTGTTGTACTTGTTTTATTGTATTTATTATATGTATTTTGTTACTTTGTTTTTATGATGTAAATCTGCACTCAGCAGATTATTATAGGTTGGAACCTGCACTGAGCTGGCTTTGCAGGGAGGGCGGGATATAAATTGAAGGAAATAAATGAATAAATTTAAAAAAATACATAGTGCCCTCCCCCCGCAGGTTAGATTGGTTCAGGTGGGTCCAGTGGCATAAACTACAGGGAGGGCTCAGACATACTGCTGTTTTTTTTGGGGGGGGGGAGGAACTGAGCCTCCCCCATCAACCAGGGCCAAGCAATACTGAGTGTAAAACTTTCCCCTGAAGGAAGTCCCTGTGAGAGCCAGTTTGGTGTCGTGGTGAAGTGCGCGGACTCTGATTCCCCACTCCTCCACTCTGCAGCCGCTGGATGACCTTCGGCAAGCTGTAGCTCTGATAAGAGTTGTTCTTGAAAAAGGGCAGTTTCTGTCAGAGCTCTCTCAGCCCCACCTACCTCCCAGGGTGTCTGTCTGTTGTGGGGAGGGGAAGGGAAAGGAGCTTGTAAGCCGCTCTGAGACACCTTTGGGTAGCGAAGGGCCATGGGGTATGAATCCGATCTCTTCTTCTCTTCTGTGTAATGACTTTCCAGGCTCACGTTCTTACAAATGCTAACTGAGCTAGCAGGAGAGACGATGGGAATGGTTCAACATCCTCCTTCTCCCCCTCCCCTCTTCTCGGAGGTATTAAATGCTAGAGGAAGACAGATAGCTGGAAACAGGACAAGCTGCCTTCAGCAGGGCGGGGAAACAGAGTTGAGAACATTCTTTGCAACAGAAACAGAAGGGTCTCTTACAGCGGGATCCATCAAGGGAGACAGGTCCAGTGTTCCCTCTAAGCTGAGTTAGTGTGAGCTAGCTCACATTTAGCCTCCAGCTCACACATTTTTGTCTCAGCTCAGGAAGGACGGCTCCAGAGCAAACTAATTTATGCAACAGCCAAATCCCTCGCTCACAACTTTAATGCCAGTAACTCACAAAATAGAATTTTTGCTCACAAGACTCCACAGCTTAGAGGGAACATTGGACAGGCCTCTGACCTGAGGTGTAGGGAAGGTGGCCGTTTTTGTTTCTTCAGCCGGCCTAGGTGGCTGGCAGGGCACTAGATACCGTAACGGTAATTGTGATCTGCAGAGGTTTCCAGTTGTATCTTTGCACTCTCTAGATTAATAAACGAAGGTTTTTGATAGAACCTAACAATCCTTGAATGTGTTTGGTGGCTGTTGGAAAAGAAAGTCCTTAACCCTGGCTGGCTCCACCCACTTTCAGTGTAGCAACAGTCAGACTGCGAAGCCTCTGTTGGCCAACACAGTCTTGCTGGGCTCCAATTTACATTTGGGGGGAAAGTGTGTGTCTCTGTGTTATTTTACTTGGGTCTATATATCCTTGACTGAGAACTGGTTTTTTTCATGATGGGGGGGGGGGCAGCCACGTCAGCCTCTCCTAAGCTCTTCTTTCAATTTCAATTTCATTTTTAAATGGTAAGCCCATCTGCATGAACAAGATCAAGGGCCTTTTATAATTTTCTTTTGCCCTGTGTGCAGCGCAGAGAACATTAGCAAGAAATGTGCACTCTGTACATGTGCATGCTCTTCATTTTGTTGTTACTTAAAACGGTGTGGTACAGTTTCAAAGGGGCAACCAACTGGGAGGTATAAAAGGAATGATGGGATTGGCCACTGGAAACAATGGGAGGGGCTTGA